AGAACAATGCTGAGGGAGCGCCGCACTGTCGGAGGGTCAGTGCTGAGGGAGCGCCGCACCGTCGGAGGGTCAATGCTGAGGGAGCGCCGCACTGTCGGAGCTGTTGTTATTCGGATGTAATATGAATGTGAGGGAGTTTTTAACTCTCTCATACCCAGATGTGACTAAGCGATGTGTTAGTTACTGTCAATATGCCCCTGCCCCATGTCCTGTTCTCTCTGCAGTCTGTAAGAAACGTGGGAAATTGATGGGATTACTTCGGAACTTCATAAAGTCTCGTCCCAGTCGCCAGAAGCTGAAGCAGCGAGGAATTCTGAAGGAGAGAGTTTTTGGATGTGACCTCGGAGAGCACCTCTTGAACTCCGGCCTGGATGGTACTCCCCACGCCCCAAACCACTGCTGACCATCCCAGACTGACTGCCCTTCCCACACCACCACTGACCCCTTCGACTTGGTACTGACCTTCTTGACCTCACTCTGACCCCCGCAACCTCACTCTGACCCGCAACCTCACGTCGATCCCAATCACTGTCCGAGTGCCTGTCTCTCTCTCGTTCACTCCAACCCCCGCCCTCAGTCAGTCTCTGAGTGTCTGATCCTCTATTGGTCACTCTCTGACCCTCTGTCTGTCACCCTCTGAGTCTCTGATGCCCAGTCCGTCGCCCTTCAATCCTCTCTCGGTCACTCTGAGTGTCTGACCCCCCCTTGCTCACTCTCTGAGTCTCTGACGCTCCCTCAGTCACTCTCCCACCCTCGCTCAGTCACTCTCCAAGTGTCCGACCCTACCTCAGTCACTCTCCAAATCTCTGATCCTCCCTCTGTCACTTTCGGAGTCTGCGATCCTCCCTCTGTCACCTTCCAAGTACCCGACCCTCCCTTTGTCCCTCTCCGAGTGTCCAACCCTCTCGTTGGTCACTGTCCAAGAGTCTGACCCTCCCTCAGTCACCCTCCGAGTGTCTGACCCTCCCTTGGCCACTCTCTGACCCTCCCTTGGCCACCCTCCATGTCTACAACCCTCCCTCAGTCACCCTCCGAGTGTATGACCCTCTTTTGGTCACTCTCTGACCCTCCCTTGGTCACCTTCCGAGTGTCTGACCCTCTAACTGTGCTCCTGTCTCTCTGCAGTGCCTCAGGTATTGAAAAGCTGCTCCGAGTTCATTGAGGAATTTGGGATCGTCGATGGGATTTACCGAGTGTCCGGAATCTCATCCAATATCCAAAAACTACGGTAAATGCCCTCATGCCTCACCACAATCCATCTCCTCACACTGCTCTGCTCCCCCTTCACGGAGGGTTTAAACACGTCTGGCGGGGGCAGTGGGACTGTAAGCTGTAGGAAGACAAGAGTGAAAGGTGAAACTAGTACAGAAGGTAAAGTGAGCAAATTAAAAAGACAAGAGTACGACTGAGATTGAGGGAAGAGTGGTGAATTATTTATTTCAATGCAAGGGTCCTGACAGGTAAGACAGATGAACCCAGGGCGTGGATGGGTACATGGGACTAGGATATCATAGCGATTACAGAGACCTGCCTGAGGGAGGGACAGGACTGGCAGCTCAGTGTTCCAGGGTACAGATGCTATAGGAAGGGGAGGCAAGAGATGAGGGCGAGTGGCGTTTTTGATTAGGGAGAACATCATGGTAATACTGAGAGAGGACATTCCTGAGGGATCGTCCAGTGACACTATATGCATGAAACTCCACAATAAGAAAGGGTTGATTACTTTGATGGTCTTCAGTAGACAGTGGGAAATTGAGGAACCAATATGTAGGGAGATTGCAGATAGCTGCAAGAATAATAGGGTTGTAATAGTCAGTGATTCTAACTTTCCTAACATGAACTAGGGCTGCTGCAGTGTTAAGGGTTTGGATGGGGAGGAATTTGTTCAGCGTGTTCTAGAAAACATTCTCAAACAAGATGTAGATGGCCCTATTAGAGAAGGGGCTAACCTCAACCTTCTTTTGGGAAATAAGGCAGGGCAAGTAACAGAATTGTTTGTGGGGGAGCACTTTGGGACCAATGAGCATAATTCCATTAGTTTTAAAATAGCAATGGAAATGGATAGGCCTGGTCTACAAGTTAAAGTTCGAAATTAGGGCAAGGCCAATTTTGATGGTCTTAGACAGGAACTCTCAAAAGTCCCATTTCTGAAGAAGGGTCCCAACCCGAAATGTCAACTTTCCTGCTCCTTTGATGCTGCCTGGCCTGCTGTGTTCCTCCAGCTCCACACTGTGTTATGTCTGACTCCAGCATCTGCAGTTATTACTATCTCTGAACTCTCAAAAGTTGATTGGGGCGTGCTGTTTGCAGGCAAAGTGGGAGGCTTTCAGAAGTGAGTTACAGGGTTCAGGGCCAGTATGTTCCTTTTAGAGTGAAAGGCAAGGCTGGCACAAGTTGGGAGCGCTGGATGACTAGAGTTATTGAGGCTCTGGTCAAGAAAACGAATGAGGCATATGTCAGGTATTTGGACAGCTGGGAACAAGTGAATCCCTTGAGGGGTGTGGGGGTATAGAAGTATACTCAAGAGGGAAATCAGGACGGCAAAAAGGGGACATGAGATAGCTTTGGCAGATATGGTTAAGGAGAATCCAAAGAGATTCTACAAATAGATTAAGGGCAAAAGAGTAACTAGGGAGAGAATAGAGCCCCTTAAAGATCAATGAGGCTGTCTATATGTGGAACCACAGGAGATGGGTGAGATACTAAATGAATATTTCTTGTCAGTATTGACTGTGGAGAAGTATCTAGAAGCTAAAGAAGTTGGAGAAACAAATAGTGCTATCTTGAAAAGAGTCCACATTACAGAAGAGGAGGTGCTGGAGATCTTAAAGTGCATTTAGGTAGATAAATCCCCAGGACCTGGTCAAGTGTATCCCAGGACATTATGGGAAGTGAGGGAAGAAATTGCTGGGCCCCTCGCTGAGATATTTGTATCATCAACAGCCACAGGTGAGGGCAGGAAGACTGGAGTTTGGCTAATGTGGTGCCATTATTTAAGAAAGGCTGTAAGGAAGAGCCAGGGAACTATAGACCGGCGAGCCTGACATCAGTGGTGGGTAAGTTGTTGGAGGCACAGGATGTCCATGTATTTGGAAAAGGCAAGGACTGATTAGGGATAGCCAGCATGGCTTTGTGCGTGGGAAATCGTGTCTCACTAACTTGAGTTATTTGAAGAGAGGACCAAGGAGATAGATGAAGGCAGAGTGGTAGACGTTGTCCACATGAACTTTATCAGGGCCATTGGGAAGGTCCCGCATGGGAGACTGGTTAGTAAAATTAGATCACATGGGATCCAGGGAGAGCTAGCCAACTGGATACAGAATTGGCTTGAAGGTAGGAGACAGAGGGTGGGGGTGGAGGGTTTGTGTTTTGGACTGGAGGCCTGTGACCAGCGGTGTGCCACAGGGTTCGGTGCTGGGTCCACTGCTTTTTGTCATTTATATCAATGATCTGGATGCGAACATGGGCAGCATGGTTAATAAGTTTGCAGATGACACCAAATATCAGTGGTGTAATAGACAGCGAAGAAGGTTACCTCAGAGTACAATGGGATCTTCAATAAATGGGCTGAAGGGCCGAGGAGTGGCAGATGGAGTTTAATTTAGATAAATGTGAGGTACTGCATTTTGGAAAGGCAAATCAGGGCAGGACTTATACACTTAATGGTAAGGTCCTGGGGAGTGCTGTCGAACAGAGAGACCTATGGGCCCTTGTGCATGGTTCCTTGAAAGTGGCAACTCAGATAGACAGGAAGTGAAGGAGGTGTTTGGTACGCTTTTCTTCATTGGTCAGTGCATTGAGTATAGGAGTTGAAAGGTCATATTACATTGGTACAGGACTTTGGTAAGGCCACATTTGGAGTACTGTGTACATTTCTGGTCATCCTTCTATAGGAAAGATAATATTGAACTGGAAAAGGTGCAAAAAAGATTTACCAGGATATTACTGAGGCTGGAAGGTTCGAACTATAGAGAAAGGCTGAATAGGCTGGGAGATTTTTTTCCCTGGAGCATTTGAGGCTGAGCGATGACTTTATAGAGGTTTATAAAATCAGGAGGGGCATGGATAAGGTAATAGCCAAGGTCTTTTTCCCAGGGTGGGGTGCCCAAAACCAGAGGGGCATAGGTTTAGGTGAAAGGGGAAAGATTTAAAAGGGACCTGAGGGGTAACTTTTTCACACAGAGGGTGGTGCGTGTATGGAACGAGCTGCCAGAGGAAGCGGTGGGGGCTGGTACAATTACAACATTTAAAAGGTATCTGGATGGGGACATGGATAGGAAGGGTTTAGAGGGATATGGGCCAAATGCTGGCAAATGGGACTGGATTAATTTAGGATAGCTGGTCAGCATGGAGAAGTTAGGCTGAAGGGTTTGTTTCCATGCTGTACGGCTCTATGACTGTCTCCTCGCTATCACACAGTTACTCAGTCACTCTCTCTCCATCAATGAATTTCTCTCAACTCCTTTCTCCATCCAAGGTGCACCTCTCATTGCCTTCCACCCTCATTCCTTACCCCTCACTCCCTATCACTGTCTGCCCTTCTCTTGCCCTCTGGTTTGACATATGGAACAATATCTATCTATGAGTAACACACTCTCTCCCTCTCTCTATCAGTAACTCTCTCTCTCTCTATCAGTAACTCTCTGACTTTCTCTATCAATCAATAACACTGTCTCTCTATCAGTGACACCCCTTCTCTCTATCAGTAACACTTTCTCTCTCAATCAGTAATACTCTCTCTCTATCAGTAACTCTCTTTCACTCTTTCTCTCTATTACTGACACTGTCTCTATCAGTAACACACTCTCTTTCTATCAGCAACACTTTCTCTCCATCAGTAATACACTCTTGCTATCAGTAACACACTCTCTCTCTCAATAACATTCTCTCCCCTGTCACTGTCTCTATCAGTAACACTCTCTCTCTCTCTCTCCCCTCCCCTCTCTATCACTCAATCAGTAACATTCTTTCTCTCTCTCTATCAGTAACACACTCTCCACTGCCCCCCTCTCTGTATGAGTAACACTCTCTATCTCTCTCTATCAGTAACCCTCTCTGTCTTTCTCTCAGGCACCAGTTTGATTCGGATCAGATTCCAGATTTGAGGAAGGGGATTTATCTGCAGGATATTCACTGTGTGAGCTCGCTCTGCAAGCTCTATTTCCGGGAATTACCGAACCCACTGCTCACTTACCAGCTGTATGACCCTTTCGCGGTGAGATCCTCAAATAGAACCCTCACCCTCCTCATTCCCCTCATTCCCAAACCCCTTCCCTCTGCCTCATCCCACTCCTCCCACCCCCCATCCTCTCCCCCTCCCCCCAGACCCCCCCCCCTCACTCCACTCCCCTCCCCCTCAAACCCCCTCCCCTCGCTCCCCTCTCCTCTCCCTCACTCCCACCTCCTCACTCCATTCTCCCCTCTTCCTCCTTAATACCCATCTCCTCCACTCCTCAGCCTATCCCTCACCACCGCCCCATTCCTTTGCCCTGTGCCTCACCCCTTTCTCTCTCCTTCACCCCCTTCCATCCTCTCTTTATTCCCCTCCTTCATATCCTTTCCCACTCCTTCAGCCCTCTGCCATCCTGGCTGTCTGGGAGCTGTCTGTGAATCTGTCTGGGATCTGTCTGTGATTCTGTCTGGGATCTGTCTGTGAATCTGTCTGGGATCTGTCTGTGAATCTGTCTGGGACCTGTCTGTGATTCTGTCTGGGATCTGTCTGTGATTCTGTCTGGGAGCTGTCTGTGAATCTGTCTGGGAGCTGTCTGTGATTCTGTCTGGGACCTGTCTGTGAATCTGTCTGGGATCTGTCGGTGATTCTGTCTGGGATCTGTCTGTGATTCTGTCTGGGACCTGTCTGTGAATCTGTCTGGGACCTGTCTGTGAATCTGTCTGGGAACTCGTCTGTCGGGATTATCTGTTTGGGGTTCTGTCCGGTCTATCTGAGTTGTCTGTCTGAGATCTGTCCGGCCTGTCTGTCCGGCCTCTCTGTCCGGGCTCTCTGTCCGGGCTCTCTGAGCGAGCTCTCTGTCCGGCCTGTCTGTCCGGCCTCTCTGTCCGAGCTCTCTGTCCGGGCTCTCTGTCCGGCCTCTCTGTCCGGGCTCTCTGTCCAGGCTCTCTGTCCGGCCTCTCTGTCCGGGCTGTCTGACCGGGCTGTCTGTCCGGGCTGTCTGACCGGGCTGTCTGTCTGGGCTGTCTGTCTGGGCTGTCTGACCGGGCTGTCTGACCGGGCTGTCTGTCTGGGCTGTCTGACCGGGCTGTCTGTCTGGGCTGTCTGTCTGGCCTGTCTGTCGGGGCTGTCTGTCTGGGCTGTCTGTCTGGGCTGTCTGTGTAGTCTGTCCAATTACCCCAGCACACCCCCATAGCTCACTCTGCTCCTTGCTGTTATTTTCCAGGACGCTGTGCGCTCACAGACCGTCGATGAGAGGCTCCTGAATGTTCACAATGTGATTCAGCAACTGCCCCCTCCTCACTACAGGACTCTCCACTTCCTCATGACACACCTCAACCGCCTGGCAAAACACAGTGCAGCAACTAACATGCACATCAAAAACCTGGCGATCGTGTGGGCTCCCAACCTGCTCCGGTGAGAGAGAGAGGGGGGGAGGGGACGCGGGGGAGACAGGGAGAGAGAGAGAGGTGGGCGGACACAGGGAGAGAGAGGTGGGTGGTGCAGAGGAGACAGGGGGAGAGAGGGAGAGAGAGGGGTGGGGGCAGACATGCTTTCATTCATCAGCCAGGGTATTGAGTACAAGAGTTGGCAGGTCATGTTACAGTTGTATAGGACTTTGGTTCGACCACATTTGGAATACTGCGTACAGTTCTGGTCGCCACATTACCAAACGGATGTGGACGCTTTGGAGAGGGTGCAGAGGAGGTTCACCAGGATGTTGCCTGGTATGGAGGGCACTAGCTATGAAAAGAGGTTGAG